GAGAGAGAGAGAGAGAGAGAGAGAGAGAGAGAGAGAGAGAGAGAGAGAGAGAGAGAGAGGGAGAGAAAACCGTGTGAGAGAGAGAAGAACCGTGTGCTGACACTATCGGACCGAAGAAACCGCCCTTATCAACGGGCAACATGAATCTGGAAGCGGGGCGACATGTACAAAGGACAAAAAATATGGCGGTGTATCTTTCCATGTTCTGGCGGAAGATTCATTCATACTTTGGGTGGTGGAGAGCGAAGGGCCGATGAATCACGTAAGCACGTAACATATCTCTGGAACCTTTCTTTTTTTTTTTTTTGGAGAATCTCTGAACAAATGAGACTGAATCCTCTGCTTGAATATGGAAAGATACATTGCCATATATGTCTTGTTGTGCATGTCGAGAGTAGTGCAGCGAGCCCGTTGGTAAACATTACCGTTGAGGTTCTGACAGGTTGGACATGCCGGGCTTCACTAGTGCAAAGAGCTGTTCTTCCTTCACGTTTTTTTCCTTTTATTAAAAAAAAAAAAATCCAGGAAAAACGGCTGCCAGTTCCGTCGTTTTCGACTTCTGAAGTAATACGAAGAGAACGTTTTGAGAGATCGCGACCCTCATCATGACTGAATCTGGCCTGCAAGAACCCTACCATACAGACTGCAATTACGGTTGAGGTTCTGACAGGTTGGACGTGCCGGGCGACACTCGTGCAAAGAAATTCTKATTTTCTTCCTTTAAAAAAAAAAAAAAAAAAACATTCCAGGAAAAACGGCTGTCAGTTCCGTCGTTTTCTACTTCCGAAGTAATAAGAAGAGAACGTTTTGTGAAATCGCGCCCCTCATCATGACTGAATCTCGAGAACCCTACCATACGGACTGCAATACCCTACCACACACACAGAGTGTTACCCGAACTACAGGTTACTAAAAACTTTCAGGCCAATGCACGGCCTCCAAAAAAAATTTGGCTGCCCGTTTCATATTTTACGCGAGCAGGGGGCCGGGTCTACGACCGCCCCTCACAACTTTTTTTTTTTTTTTTTGACCCCCATTTTTTTAGGTGCGCCGCATGCAGTGCGCGCGCGTCATGCGGGATGCGCGGTGCGGCGCACGTGCGCCGTGCAGCGCATTGCGATGCGCCGGATGTATGGTTTTTCGGGAAAATAAAAAAAGAAAGTGAAAGGAAATTAATAAACTTTCAGTACCGGTGACCAAATGTCGTGTGATGTTCCAAGTCCAATCATAATGCAAAGCCTTTTTTTCTTTCCAAATCATACTGCAAAATCTAAATTTGAGCCAAGGACAAGAACCACCACAAGGAGAAATGGAGAGGAGATGAGAAAGAGACAAAAAAGAGGAAGAAAAAGGCGAAATAATAGTGTGCCATATGAGGTGAAAAGAAGAAGACGAAGAAGAAGATGGAGAAAAATGAAAAGAAGAAGAAGAAGAAGAAGCAAAGGATGGATAAAATCAGTGCAGTAATTACTCTCCCCTCATTTTGCCATCTTCATAATGTGCCTCACTTCTCCTCCTTTGACCCAAGGACAAGAACTGGCGCAAGGAGAAATGGAAGAGATAGATAGATAGATAGATAGATAGATAGATAGATAGAGAGAGAGAGAGAGGTGAAAGAATAGTGTGAGCTCAAAAGGAGGAGGAGGAGGAGAAGAAGAAGAAGCAAAGAATGAGTAGAATCCCTACATTATTAAAATTGCTAGGGTCACAAATCTGAAATTCGGGCCATCAGGGTCCTACCGGTCCACGGCCCGGATTGTCAGGAGATTGTAACAAAACTGAAATCTGGGCCGTCGCGGTCCTACCGACCCATGGCCTAGATGGTCGGGAGATTGCAACAAATCTGTGATCTTGGCCGTTGGGTCCTACCGGATTGGCGGCCTTGATCAACACGGACTAGGGCCCGACAGCCCAGATGGCAGCGCATGCTTTTCAGTTTCAACAGGTTGTCTGAGCGCTGCGTGGCACAGTTTCCCGCTGAGTCTGCTGTCATTCGGTGCTGTGGCTTTAGCGCCCGTTGGTCTGTTTCGAAGCTGCGCCTGTGTCGTTTAGTGCTGTGGGTGCAGCACCCGTTGGTCTGTTTCGAAGCTTAAAGCGCCCATAGTTGTTCGTTGTTGTGAAGCGCCAGTAGTGGTTCCCTGAAGCGCCCGTTGTAACATAACACTTTCACGAATCTGTGTGTGTGTGTGTGTGTGTGTGTGTGTGTGTGTGTGTGCTGCACACGCGTGCGCGCTGCTCCCCTCCGCCAGCGCCCTCGCCTCCCCCTCCGCCCGCACTCCACCAGCGGGCACTTCTCCGCGAAAGCCACTGCCTGCCCTCCGCCAGCACTCACTTCCCTCCACTTCTCTCCCTCCCTCCCTCTCTCTCTCTCTTTCGCGCGCGCGCATGCGTGCTGGCCCCTCCCCCACCGCCTCTCTCTCTCTCTCTCTACTTCTTCTCGTCCTCCTTTTTCCATTTCCTTCTCTGGATCTTTCCAGTTTTAGCGGACGTTACGGCGGACTTCATGCCATTTCCTTTTATTTCTCTGCTGGTGTCTTCATTATTCTGTCTGTGTCATCCATCTTCCCATTAGTCTGTACGCCTTCCTCTCTCTCTCTATGCTTCGGTCACTCTCTGACCATCATTTGTCGCTTCGCTGGCGCGGGCGCTGACTCACATTTCTGTCTATGTTGCGGTTTTGCCCTTATTTGTATGCTTTGTATGTCGATCTAAGCTGACAGCGGGATGGTGTTGCCTTGTCCTCAGGACCCGAGGGAAGGTGCGGCTGGCCAGGGTGGTGGAGATGGTGGAAGAGACTTGAGGGATCGTCTGTCGGGTGGGCGCAGAGGCGAGTCTCCCAGGAGGAATAGTACAGACAGAGGAGGGCGCGATGGGCTGCGCGAAGGCGAGTCTCCCAGGAGGAATAGTACAGACAGAGGAGGGCGCGATGGGCTGCTACCTGAACGTACACCCAGGAGGAATAGTACTGACAGTGGAGTTGCTGAGCGAGCGGCAAACGGGGGACGGAACGATCCTTCGCCGAGCGAACACCAGAGGGCAGCGAACAGGGGACTCCCCTCCCATTTGCTTGACAGGATGGAGGACGGTTTATTCATGGGTTACGCAGGCGAGGGTCGCGGATGGGACTCGATCAATGGTGACATGAGCAGAATGGAAGCAGGCGGTACGGCCAATGGAGGAAGCGAGTTTTCAAGTGAGTTTTCGCGGAAACGGAAGGCAGAAATCGAATCTACCCATCAAGCGGCCAGAAGATCTTTCATGGGCGGGGATGCGGGCGGCGGCGGGTGGGGACCTCCTGGAGGGTTTTCGCCGCCAGGGGCGATGAACTTTGGAGGCCATGTTAATGGGGTATGGGGTCGAATGGGTAGTCCGCCCATGGGAAACAACCCTCCACTGTTCATGAACCCAATGGGAGGGGTGAATCCCAATCGTCAATTTATGCGAGCAGTCGAGGGTGCCGGAATGCAGTTTCTAGGCCAACCGGCGGCGCAATGGCAATGGCAGGAACCCTTGCCGCCAGGTGGGGGCTGGGGCCGGCATGGCCAGGGGTGGAACGGGTACCAGCGTCGATGACAGAAGTTGTTTGTCTGATGCGCTTGCTTCCAAGAACCTGAGCCTTGGTGACGGGTTTCGGTTTGTGTTTTCTGTACCTACTTTTTATCGTCTCAGTGAAGTGAAATGCTCAACAATGGGTAGGCATCTTGTCCATCCACCTCCTTCCACTTTACTGGCTGTACTTTCCTGATCGGTCTTCCCTTGTTTTTTTTTTTTGTTTTGTTTTTGTTTTTTGTTTTTTTGGGATCGTTCATCCTCCAATTTTTGTTTTCCTTCTGTGGAATTGCCCAATCATCTGTACAACAGCATATCAGGAAAGGGAGAGTAAAGAAATGCATTTGCACTCGGACTTTCTGGAATGTATCCGACCGCAATTACAGCCAGATTAGGTCAAAGAAATGTCCTAGTCTGAGTATGCCCTCGATAACACTGAAAAGGAGACCTTGTTCACTTAATTTCAAGGTGAGGCATGTGAGGCATGCGCCTCTGCCATTGTGATTTCTTCACTTTTGCCTTCCTTCCACCGCCCTCTTCCCCCCCCCCCCCCCCCCCGTGGGCCCCCCCGCCCCCGCCTTTGGTCTTTGTTTGCGCCCATCTTCCTTTTTGTCTTCTCCGATTTGTCGCAAATGTGACCCGTTGTTCAGTTCTCGAGTCGGTGAATGGATTTCGTTGTTGTTGTTGTTGTTGTTGTTGTTGTTGTTGTTGTTGTTTTTCGGTGAATGCCTTTCGTGAGTTTCGTTAGCATTAGTAATTGTTTGCGCCCGTTCTTTTCGTACTTTCTGGAAGTTTTCGCTTCGCCTAATCTTTGTGTTGTGCTTGTCATCGAAGATGGGAAGGTGGTGTGTGTAAGGTGCAGGCTCTACCATCTTCCCTTCAAAAAACGTACCGTCATTTTAGCTGTATTTGAGGCAAGTTTGAGTGCAGATACAGCCATAATGACTGTACGGTCGTTATAGGCTGTATTTGAGGCAACTTTGAGTGTAGATACAGCTATAATGGCCGTGCGGTCTTGGGACTGGTTTTTCAGAAGGTATCTGGACCTTTACCAGCTCCACATACATTTAAAATTTTAAAATTAGTGTGCGTTTTGGGGACTGGTGTTTCTGAACATATAAAGGACCTTTACCAGCTACTCATAGATTTAAAAATTAAAATGTTGTGGAATCATTGACGCCCAAAGAAGCCTGGCGCTCTCTATGGCCGCACTTCGCCCTCTGTACCTTGCCCAGCTTTTCCTCTCTAGACTCCTTTCGCCATCTACCTCTCTCCCGCCTTTCGTAAATTCTTCTGGGGAAAAAAAAAACAACATCCCGTCATGCTTTGAAAAAGTCTTTTCTTTAAAAAAAAAAAAAAGAAGTCTTTCTACATTTTTTTAAGGATTGATATGCTAAGCCTTAGGAAAAAGAAACAAAAAGAAAGGAGAAGACTGATCTGTTGCCACAGCCTTTGAAATGCAAGCCTATAGAAATAGAACAGAACCCGGTAAAGTTTGAAATTTGTATAATGTGTGAACAATTTACTCTCTCTCTCTCTGTGTGTGTGTGTGTGTGTGTGTGTGTGTGTGTGTGTGTGTGTGTGTGTGTATTAGTGTATGTGTGTGTGTCCATGTCATGCAGGAAAAATGAACGTTAGGAAACTGAGGATCACACGACATCTCCGTTGTGTGATCGGACGCTACCCTTTGTTTGCTTTTTTTTTTTAATTTGGATTCTTGGAGACAAAGAATCCTGGTGTTATTGGGAGAAAAGCAAAAGCTGTCGATGGCTCCGCTTGGCGTCCCATGCCTTGCTGACATTTCCTTTCCAGATGTGAGAAGGCAAAGATTTCTCGAAAAGATAACTCCAATATTTGACATGAACATCCTCCACCTTCTGTGCTATGCTTCGAAAAGATATCGCCAATTTTTGAATGACGGATCTGACCAATCAACTTCGTCGTCCTGTCGGGAAAAGAAAAAAATAAATAAAAAATGAACTGAATCAAATTCAATCAACTAATATGTGTCACGAGAGAGCCAGCTTCCTGGGCCCATGCCACACTTGCAGAGCTTTGGTTTTGTGTTTGAAGGACGGATTGGTCAAATCGTCAACTTAGTCGTCATGTCTGGGGGGGGAAGGAACTACATCAACTTAGTCGTCATGTCTGGGGGGGGAAGGAACGGAAATGCTAATTATTTAAGCCCAACCAATTCAATTACCTGTCGAATCTGGACAGGACGGACTTTCAGGCCTTTTTTAGTGCCATTATAGTATTACGGGGAACCCCGTAGCGGTCACATCCGCGCTCAAGCCTCCAACGAGGGAACATGCGGGAGCTGCACCCACCAGCAGGTGCGACACTTGCTACTACAGCAGGTGGGCTATGCCAGCCAGGGGTCAGCCGGTAGCATCAGGACCTGTCTCTTATACACATCTAGATGTGTATAATCGACTTGTCGATCCCATGACATGAACATCAGGTTGTGCGCTGGAGGGGAGAAGGAAAAACAAGGAAAGGGGCATGAACTTGAAACGGGAAGCAG